ATGATGTTATAGTTATTCTTACTTGTTAATCCACTGCTTGGAGATGTAGAACTTGATATCATTGGGCTCGATGCTGGTAGACTCCAATATTTCGGCAGCCTTCTGACGTAACGCCACCATTTGAGGATTCACTTTCCTGTTTCAATAAACATGATTTATTATAGACCGCTGCATCTTTTACAAGTTAAAACCTTCATAAAGTGGCATGAGACATAATTTATTTATTTTCGCTTCATGCACAAAGTGTACATTAGAGGACTTAATGCCGCAGGCATTTTTTCCCAGTCTGACTTTTGGGGGATACAGAGAAAAGTAAATGGTAGGAACAAGAAGCAAGCAACCATTTAATTGAACAAACAGCATATAACCTCTTTTCTTTTAACTAAGCTGTACTAGGAAAGACTATAAACTGCAAACAGAGAAGTTGCAGTCCAACAAGGATTCTTGGTTTCAATTTGGAGGGCGGGTATAGGGTTATGCAATTTCTTACGGACACTGTGAAGGCTGAGCCTATTACGTGAAACATTGAATTTGTGTACTTTGCCACATTTTTGTACCGCAAAATCCATAATTTATTATTTATGAAGAAAAAAAATAGCCTACACTGGAGTCCAATGATTGAAACTCAACATTAACTAAAAATTACGGGTTACTCACGTGAATATATAGAGAAAAGCTCTACTAGTTTCGCGATTTTTAGTTAATTTTATACGTCTCAAAGTCAAAATCAAAGCATTTATTTCAATTAATCTATAATTTGGTACTTTTGAAACGTCAACAAATACAAAATAAATAATAATCTGTCAGTCAGTCCGTCAGTGAAGCTAGGTGCTCATTCCAAAATGTAGATTCAAATGGAGAAGAACGAGCAAAAAACTCCATTCGTTACTCTTTAAAAAAGTATGTTCTACAATGTCTCTGATACATATTCAAATATTGTATGTATATGTGAGAACAATGCAAAGGAAGTACGGGGTATATATCTCACTATAGGTATTATAGAAAGTCAACATACCTATAGAACAGCACATAAGCCTCGCAATGCGGCAGATGATGGTAAGGCAGTGGAGTGACGCAGTGGTCATCGAAGGTGTACCAGTTCCGTCCGTTCCGCGCCACGCAAGTATAGTGCCCGCCCCCGGCGGTGCCCGCGTGGCAGATCACCGCGCATAACTCGTACCGGGTTATTTTTGATGTGCAGTCTGTGGGGAAAAGGGATAAGTTTAGTATTGTCGTATCAGTCACAGACAAGTAAGTTTTAGTGTGGGAGAGCCGTGCATGCGGGCTCGCAGAAAATCGACGTGAAACAACGCTTCCATTGTGATTCTTCTTGTGAGGTTACCGGAAGCCCAATTAGCCCCCTCCCCAGTCTCCATAATCTCTGAATCCTTAACAATCCTCAAATTCCTAGTCCCCAAAATGCCGGTATAGCACTTGTAACGCCTTTGGTGTTCCAGGTGTCCATGGGCGACGCCGATTGCTTACCATCAGGTGATCCGTCTGCTCGTTTTCCCACTAATCTCATAAAAAAGTTTCGAGTGTTCCATTATTATGATAAATATTCTATAATCAATCGTTTTTTAGCTTTTCTAGATAGAACGACACTGAAATTTAAAAATAAATACATTGAATTTTATATTTTTAGACAATAACTAATTACAACTTTAAATATGCACAAATAATGTCACTGAATACTTTGAAGTAACCTTTAACTTCGATAGATCAACCGCTTAGATGTCACGATATGAGACACAATAGAAAACACAGTGTCTTCCGTAGATCTGCGCTCCGACACACCACGGAGGTTTTTTAAGGGAAGAAAATTTATCCAATAGCTTCTCTCGCCTAGGTGAGGCGGGAGGGAGTGTCAGACTCTTACTGACTAAAAACCACCCCGTTCCTACTCCTGCACTTCGAACCGGAGCCCCGGCAACCCGTTAAGTCCTACGCGGCTCCGTATCGGCATCAGCCCTATTGAGCCCCATCCATGGTGGTCTGATGGCTCTTTGAGGCGCGCTCGGAACGCGACGCGCCACACGGGGCCTGAGATCGTCCAGTTAAGCTTACAATTTCAACCCAATATTATTCAATAAATAAAAAAGTAACCAACCTTTATGCGTGTAGGGCGCCATATTGAGGTCGTGTATAGGGAATGAGACCCGTGCAGCGACCTTAGCGCTGAACATGAGTTCGTGTCGGAACCGCTTCAAGTGGACGCACAACACCTCGGGCAGGCGGACCACGCCCGACATCTTCACTCCGTTGCGGAGCTTGTTGCAGCGGGAACAACTAAACGAAGATATCATGTTAATATTCGTATTTATTTGTTTACTATAGTTAGGTAAATCAATGATCCTTCAAAAAAAAAAAAAAATGGCCGTGTCACTGCTTTCAACCAATCCAATAAAACATACACATGATAATAAGTTACTATGGTGCTTAAAAACGCGGGAGAATAATAATTTGTAAAATAAAAGGTTTCGGAGAAACACCCAAATATAATGGAAGCTAAAGAAGTAAACAGTAACGATTTGCGAATAAATTTGATTTCATTAGGATTAGGAGAAAAGATTAAATAAATATTAGTATATGCACAATTTGACAAACCATACAGCTTTTGCTAAACAAACTCTTCTATGATGTATGGAAAAAACCGCCAATGTCTAACTTTTATTATGTGATGCATTATGTAAAATAGTTCATGTTGTTAAATAAAAAATTGCAAAATGGCCTACCATTGTCTAATTATTATTTCATCAATTCTTACGTAGCATAAACTGCAATATCGTATTGGCGTGTGTTACACCTGAATACAGAAGGGCTACTCAATTTTAAGTTGTATTTAAATATTGTGCCATCTCTTTCATATTACAAATAAATTGCAGGGACAGAATATAGTATTTCGCCCCCGTACTAGGATTTTCGCCTGTGTCGTGGGTGAGTTTACAAACATAAAAGTTCACATACACATGACACCCAGACCCGGAACAACGCGGATCACACAAAGAGTAGTTCTGTCTGGGAATAGAACCCGCGACACGTTGCGTGGCAGCCAGTTGCCCAGTCACCGTACCAAACGTGCAATAGTTATACTTAAGCGCGACATAACATAACATCACGCCGTTTATCCCCGAAGAGGTAGGCAGAGGTGAACACAGAAGTAACACCCACTTTTCACTATTTATGTTATGAGTCCCATGTAATAGGGGGTGAGCCTATTGCCATATACCGGGAACATTTCCAGACTCCGTGCTACTACTGAGATTTTTTTTAAAAAACCCAGTAATACTTTGCCCGACGCGGAAATCGAACCCGAGACCCCTTGCCCAGCAGCCGCACTTACGACCACTCGGCCAACGAGGCAGTCTTAAGCGCGACTTAAAAGAGAATAGCGTTTCAGTATTCGGGCATAATTCTATCTCTATTTCTCTCAAACCTAGCCTACTCTACCTTTAAATAAAAAACCAGTTTCACGTACCTGTACATATTATCGCCTTTCAGTTCGTCAGCGCTGAAGAATGCAGCGAGACAGTCCTGCAGTGACACGACGGGGCCGTAGAACCACGACCGTAACCAACTAAGTAGCCACCATACCTACGTACAAGCATAATATTTGTTCATAAATCTTTAACAAGATTACTGACATGAAAACAAAAGATATGAGATATTTTTATAATAAGATGTGTACCAAAAAGTGGTGCGGAACAGAGACAGTCTTATCGAGTATGTTAAGATTGGTGTTTGAGGAGAACAAACGAAAATGTCCTTACCTTGAAGACAGTATAAGGTTCTTTCATGGGATAGTCAGCAAACAAGTAAACTGATCATCAATGTCAACAACAATACCAAAAGAGTTACTCATTTGTTATTTTTCTCGCTAATCTTATCCCAAGTTCATTAAGTTCAGCGCAATATCTTCTCTTTCAGCTGAACAACAGCATTATTTAAGGACAACAAATAATTGTATACGAACCCATGACTCCTGCGTAGCGTGTGAGACGTGATGGTTGAGTATGGGTTGTTGGCAGCGGATGACGGCGAGATGCTCTCGCGACGGGATCGGCAGGGACAGGTCCTGGAACGTCTCCACGCGCGTCGACACCTAGTTGGAATAAGCAATATTATTTCAATAATTCATACAATATTAAAATGGTCACAGGATTAACGAACATCAGTGTAAATGCATCTATTTATAGTTAAATTGTAGGTTGTATTAGTATACAACCTACAATTTCATACCATTTAACTCGTCAAGTACCGTCATTATAGACACAATTATAGAACAATAGGTTGCGGTCACCGGTGACCGCTTGGTGTTTGACAGTTTAAATTAGTGTAACAATTTCATTTGTCTAGGTGACTGAAATGATAAAACTGATATCCCGCCCCCAGTGTATAGTACTTATATCCTTTTAGAACTAAGATGAGGTTTTTGAGGAACAATGATGATAAAATGTTTAAAAGGTCTGCTGAATTGACTTGAACTTAAAAATAAAAAGATCAAGTTTTTCATGGATAACTTTTATATATTTAGTAGGTTGATCGTGTTTGGCTACCATATGGAGGTAAGTAGGTCTATAATGCTTCGTCTGACGCACACTAAGTTATTTTAAACCTCCATAGATATATATGACATAATACGTACCCTATTACAGATAAGACACTGCACGGAAGACAGCAATTTCCCGTCGAATACATCAGAGATGACGCTCCGGAACCTCACGCCGCCGCCCCCGTCACCACCGCCTAGTGGGACCGGGCCCTTTCTGGAGGAGAGAAGAAACAAGTTTTAGTATTTGAGTATATAGGCGATTTTTAAGTTGTATGGAAGGAACTTCTGTATAAATAAGCATTTTTTTGGACTTTATATCGAGCCATTTTTGTTAGCATGTCCTGTCTGCAAAAATATGTAAAAGGGATGATGACGGAGTATGAAAACCGAAGATATAACTAGTCCGTCTATTTATCCGTAAAAATATTAGACACGTATTTTTTATTTTATCGTATAAGGTTACAATATTTAGATAAAACGAATCAAAGTTTAGGAATGGGAGCTAAAACGTCATATCTAACGTGACGTCATGTGCTATTTCAACATATAGCCCAAAGTATTTGTTTCTTATAATTTATAAAATAAAAAAATAATGTGTTTAATGTTTCAATATATCTACCCTATTGTTCCTCAAACTAATCATACAGGGTGTATTATGTGTGCATGTAAAGCGTTACATGTACCGTTTCCAAGGCATTAGTACGAGTTTGTTTTAGATTTAAAGTAATCGAAATGAGTATGAGTTCAGAGGCCTTAGTACGAGTTTCATTTACGTTTAAAGTATTCGTAACGAGTACGCATTCGGCGCTCTGATTGGCCGGCGCCAATGAACCAACCAATCAGAGCACCGAACGCGTACTCGTTACGAATACTTTAAACGTAAAACAAACTCATACTAAGGCCTCTGTGCCCCGATCGGTTGGTTCATTGGAACCTTTAAATATTTGATGCACTTTTAGAAATTAAGCGTTTTCGCATTTTAATTTTATACAAAAGATTCTTATTAACTTAGATGTATTTTTTTTTATTAATACGTTGCTTCATTATTTTCTACGATTACTAGGATTTTCTCCCGTTTCGTGGGTCCGTTTACAACCATACAAGTTCACATACACATGACACCCAGACCCGGAAGTCTGTGGATCACACAGAGTTGTTCCATGCGGGAATCGAACCCGCAACACGTTGCGCGGCAGCCAGTTGCCAGTCGCCACGCCAACCGTGCAGTCGCTGATAATTAGCAGAATTTCATCAACACCTGTTCAGGAGTAGGCACTTGTTACCTCTTAAATGTCGTTTATGGTATGTACTATAATGTATCTTGTATACTAACTGTTCGCTCCTAGTATCGGGTGCGTCACTAGCTCCACTGGAGCAGGTCTCGTACCGCTCCTCCGCCTCGCTCGACCACGACAGAGATGATTCGGAGCCACACAGCCCTTGGTTTTGATTCCGGAGGGATTCTGTCCCTAGGATCATAGAAACAATCTGGTTAGAATATAGTCATAATTTTGAATTTAATCTTGAGCCAAATCTTTGGTACACATATAGCTCCATTCGAAACTACACTTCGGAACGAGCGCCTTCTAAAAGACAGACAGAGGGACAATTCAATTATTGACGTACCAAATGTGCCTCAATAAGTAAATTTAATTCAAATAAATGCTTTGACATTGATGTTGTGTGGCTTATTCACGTTACTGTTTGACAAGGAAACTCCACAAGGCACGACAATTTGTCCGGATGTGTCTTTAAACACTTTGTTTTCCTATGTTCGATGTATGCTGCGACATTACTACAGAGCCCTGGTGTAGGTCGTAAAATGTCTTACAATAGTTTTATTACTATAGAACAAAATGAAGGATTTAGAATCATCTCCAATAGAGCAGAATCCGATATTGTGGAAAGATTACGACAAAAATAATTATTTCATAAACGTCGTTAAAAAACCGACTTCTATCCCCTCCTTTTACTAAAAACTCCCAATTGTAACAAACATTTTACTGGAAACCGTATCTAAATCGGTCAAGCTAATCGCGTGAGAATCGCGCACCAACAAACATACATACATGTTAAATAAAGAACCTCTTCGTTTTGAAGTCAATAAAAAAAAATATTTTTATATGCAAGTACCGTTAGTCTGTTGGCTGTACATATTGTACTGTAGATGATGAGTCCCCGCGAAGCTCGCGGACCGTCGGTGTCGAGTCGTCACTGGCTCCTGTGTCTGTACTCTGAATCCAACATAGCTCACTTAGTAATAAATTAATAAATGAGCCACTACAACATTAGTTTCTTTATATATTTCAATACAATAAGGTCCATATTCGTGTAAAATTTAAATAGGTACAGTTTGCTATGGTAACGAATATATAATTAAATCTGTTATAAACCATACAATAATAAGAAAATACACAACACAGTTTTTTAAATGTTGCCCCCGTACTAGGATTTTCCCCTATATCGTGTCTCCTTACATACATACATGTTCACATACACATGACATGACTAACCCGAAACAAATATTTGCGGATAATACAAAGAGTTGCTCCGTGCGAGAATCGAACCCGCTGCACGTTGCGCGGCAACCGGTTGCCCAGCCACCGCACCAACCGTGCAGTCAACTTATAACTTCAGCTTAGCCATACCACGACAAGATTTTGCTATGATATACGATCCTCCACAATCCTCAGATTCCCAAAAGGCCGGTAACGCACTTGAATAGCTTTGGTGTTTCAGGTGTCTATGGGCGACGCCGATTGCTTACCATCAGGTGATCCGATTGCTTGTTTACCGGCTTATATCATAAAAAACTGTGTCATTTAAAAATGTACTACATATTTCCATCTCCAGCCTCTTTGGAACGAGCGCCTAGCCTCACTGTGAAACGGACGGACGGACAATTAAATTATAGACGTTTCAAAAGTGTCTAATTGACGATTAATTGAAGTAAATAAAAAACAAAGAAAAAAAAAATGTTTCTACATTGTTGTCAAAAAGTTTATCTTTAAAGTATGATTATAATTATTTGTAGCAGTGACTATTTACCTCAAGTACCCGTCAGTTCTAGATTCACTGTACGATGATGGTGCTGGAGATTTTCGCCTCATCCTCGCGAAGAAAGGCGCGTCGCTCGCTGTTAAAAATGTAATTGCAACTTTAAGATAATGGGTGTAAGGTTGAAAATTAAAAATGCATGCAATAAATGGAAATGAAAATGAACAAAAAAATTCACTAATAAAAAGGCAGCAGAGCAAACTTTCTACTCTAATAAGCTAGTATACAAAAGTAAAAAACCAAAATGGATGCAAAAAAGTCAATATATAATGTTAAGTTTGTCTATCAAAATATATCTATGGTTTGTATTTATGGTATTAACATTGTCTTGTGTATTGTCTATGGCCAATACTTGTATCTCTGGTTTTAAGAAATTAAAAAGTTATTCGTTCGTTACGCTTCCTTATTGGTGTTTCAATTATAATATATCTATTAATTTTTACAATATCTACTCAAAAGTGCTAAATAGTAACTTACATGAATAAAAATAAGATTCATAATCCAATGTCCTGAGTTCAAAAATTAATCTTCTAAGAGACAATGCTTGTTAAATAAAAGTGTCTACATACTCATAGTATGTTTGCGTAGTTGAATACAAACTTATGTCAATCAAGTTAAGGCTCATTATTGAATGGTGAGATGAGAAAGCGCAAATAAAAATAAAATAGTCTACATACACGCATAGTCAGTGTGGAACTCACCGCCGGAGGAGGCGGCGCGTCGTCGTATGTGTACGGAGCGGGTCTCTTGGTGGTCGCCGTCTGCTTCGGAACCTAACTTGTCTTCCGATGTACTGTCCCACACCTGGTTACGAGACATTGAGTTTATGGATCAGCCTGTACTGTAAACCTGCTAATCTATGAGAAAATACCTCTTTTCATGTGAAGATAAATGTGATAATCATAAATATGCTTCTAAATTGCCAATTGCTAGTAAATACCACTTTTTATAAGGACAAGTATTTTTTTTTTTTTTTTCTGCAATCTGTTTCTAACGAACATTCAGCACTTGGTGAAGAGTTTAATTTAATAAGGACAAGTATAAGCATTGATTGTTATATGTGCTTCAGCATAAAAGCCAGCGAAAAGGGTTCAGCCAGCGTTTGCAATATAAGCGCAAAAAACGTGCTTATTTACGACATCACATTAGAAACCAGTAAATTTATCAGTGTTTCTCTACTATATTATGCATACACATATAAACCTTCCTTTTTTTTAAGGGGGGAAAGTCATCGAATGACTGCTCCCGCCTGGGTGAGGCAGGAGGGAGTGTCAGACTCTTACTGACTAAAAACCACCCCGTTCCTTCTCCTGCACGTCGAGCCGGAGCCCCGGTTACCCGTTAGGTTCTCCGCGACACCGAATCGGCATCGGCCCTATTGGGCCCCATCTGTGGTGGTCTGATGGCTCTTTGAGGCGCGCGCGGAACGCGACGCGCCGTACGCTCGGGTCTGTTTCTGGTCGGACGGGGAGCCACCCATGCTCGCCGTCCGCAGGCCCGCGCTTACGGTGGCCGGAGATCGTCCCGCGATCCCCGACGCCCGGTGTGTCCTTCGCGATGGCTGGGTTGCGAGGAGGCAGCGCTTCGCTGCCTCACGCGTCCCGCCTCCTCCTTAGCTAGCATGACTGCTTCGCAAAAGGAGGAGACGGCATCCCAATCCCCCTCGCTCCGCATCATGGCCTGCACTAGGCCCGGACGCGAGAGGTCGCCATCGCCGATCACTTCCCTGAGGACACGGCGGTGCTCAGCCCACGAAGGGCATTCTCCCACCGTGTGTTCCACCGTGTCCTCAGGGCGGTCCTCGCAGTGATGACACCCGGGCGTTTCCTCCCGCCCCATCAGACACAGGTACCTCCCGAAACTTCCATGTCCGGTGAGGACCTGCGTCAGGCGGTAGGTGAGGACGCCGTAGCGTCTCTCAAGCCACTCCTCAAAGAGGGGACTTACCGCTGCGATGGCAGCGAGCCCAGCCCTCGGTTGCGACAGTCGTTGCTGCCATTCCGCCATGAGATCGCGCCGGAGCTCATCCCGCCACGCACCTATCTGGCGCGGCAGCGGGGTTTCGCCCCGGCGACGTGCCTCCGCGCGCATGCTGTACACGCGCGCGAGCACCTTCGCCTCCAGATCCCACGGCGGTAATCCGGCAAGGAGGTTCGCCGACTCCCCAGAGATCGTGCGGTATCCGCGGATCATTCGGATCGCCATGACCCTCTGTGCCATGAGCAGCGTCCGAGCGGGACGCCGCAACAGGTTTGGCGCCCAAACAGGGGCGCCGTAGAGGGCCATGGACCGCACGACCCCGGCGTATAACCTCCGGCAGGAGGCGTTTGGCCCCCCGAGGTTGGGGAGGATGCGTTTAAACGCAGCCCCCGTCCTCTCCAACTTTGGAGCCAAACGTCGGAAGTGTTCAATGAAGTTCCACCGACTGTCGAGGACGAGTCCTAGGTACTTCATCGTCGTCTCGACGCCGATGGTAACTCCTCCCGCCGTTATTTGGGACCCACCCGGAGGTGGCGCGTTCCCGCGGCCATGAAAACACATGGCCTCGGACTTGTGGAGCGCCACCTCGAGTCCCAACTGCCGGATTCTCTCAACGACTGTCGCAACCGCTGTCGCCATTAAGTCGGCCGCCGCCTGGTGTGACCTCCCGTGCGCTAGCACCAGCGTATCGTCGGCGTAGCATATTGTGCTAACGCCGTTCGGGAGGTCGGTGCGCAGCACCCAGTCATAACCGATGTTCCACAGGAGCGGCCCCAGAACCGAACCCTGTGGAACACCGCGTGACATCTCTCGCCGGTTCCACTCGCCCCGGTGACCGGGGTAAATGACGGACCTGTCCGTCAGGTATGCCTCGATTACACGACGGAGGTAGGTAGGCACCCGATGATATCGGAGTGCCTCCAAGATGCAGCTCCAGGGCAGGGAGTTGAAGGCGTTGGCGATGTCCAGAGACACCGCCACTACGACCTTACCCCTGGACACTGCAGTCCCCGTCGTCCGGTCTCTAACGCGCATGATGGCGTCCACCGTGGAGCGCCCTCTGCGGAAGCCGAACTGGCCGTCCGACAGGTCCGGCCCAATGTCCGTCAGGTGCGCGACGAGGCGGTTCGAAATGATTCTTTCGAAGACTTTCCCCACCTCGTCGAGCAGCACTATGGGCCGGTATGCGGACGGAGAGTCCGCAGGGCGCCCCGTCTTCCGCACGAGGACCAGTTTGCCCGCTTTCCAGAGAAGCGGGAACTGGCCTCTCTCCAAGCATGCGCTGTAGAGACCGATTAATCGAGGCCCGAGAGCCTCTGAGGCCAGGACCCATGCTTTGCCATGCAAGCCGTCGGGTCCTGGGGCGGTGTTCTTGGCGCCCATCCGGCGCACCGCCGCTCTCAGTTCTGCCTCGGTCACCTCTGGGACGATGTCGTCGTCGTCGTCGCTGTAGCCCGCGTCGGGCACCGCAGGGGGCGGAGTCATATACGGAGGGGTGAACCCCCTCCACAGTCGGGGGAACAGGGCGCTTATCACCTCCTCCAAGACCTCTGGCCGGAGACTCTGAGTGAGCGGGGGAGCCCAGGCGCGGAGCTTATCGCGCACCATCCGGTACGGGCGTCCCCACGGATCTCTGTCCAGAGTCCCCAGCATCTCTCGGCGGGCCTCCTCCTTGGCCCGCAATATCTCCGCCTTGAGGAGGGCCTTCGCCGCCCTGTATCCCTCGTATAACTCCGCCTCTCTCGCCTCCGCATTAGGAGGACGGATACGGCGCCTGCGGTGCCTAGTGTACTGGCGTCGCGCAGTAGTGCACGCCTTGCGCAGAGCCGCCAGCTCTTGCGACCACCAGTACACCTGGCGCTTCTGTTGCCTCGATCGGATCCGGGGCATCGCCACGTCACAAATCCTGGACATGGCGTCCTGGAGCCACTTAGCCTCATCGTCGATGTCGGCAGGCCTGACCGGTGGTATCACCCAGGCCTGCACGATGGCGGCTTCCAGGAGCAGCTCCCGGTCCAGCTGTTTCAGCGCCCAACGCGGACCACATGGGGCCTGTCTGACCGGCGGGTCTGCGGACTCGGCGGAGACGTCGAACCGGATATACCGGTGGTCGGAGTACGTCTCCACCTCCTCCATGACACGCCAGTCAACGATACGCGGTGACAGAGCAGGGCTGGCGAACGAAATGTCCACCACCGACTCGCCCTGCATCCGCACGCACGTGGGGACAGAACCCCGGTTCAGGACGACTAGGCCTGTCTCAAGGGCCCAGTCTTCCACCATCCTACCCCGGACGTCGGTGAACCGGGAACCCCAAGCCAAGTTCTTGGCATTGAAGTCCCCGAGGACGAGCACGGGGAGGGAACGGAACCCGACGACGACGGTGACCAACTCCATCAAGGAGTTGTGGAACTCGGCGAGAGTTCGGTTCGGAGAGAAGTACACGCCCACCACAGCGAGCTCTCCGAACCGTGCTGCGACACAACCCCGACCTCTTTGAGCAGCCTCAAGAGTCGGGGTACCGGCGGCGGCCGACGATATGATGGTCACCGAGCCGTCCAGGTCCGCCACCCAGTGATCCCTGGGCGGGACGAAGTACGGCTCGGAGACCACGGCGACATTGATCGACCACTGCGCCATGCTCTGGAGCAGGAGATCCTGAGCAGCGGCGCAGTGGTTGATGTTCGCCTGGAGGAGGCGGAATGGGGCCATTATTGGCAGTCCATCCCGACCTCCTCAGTGGCGGCAGCGGCGACTGCGGCGGCAGTGGCGGCGGCGGCGGAAACGACGGGGGCGGCGGAGGGCCTACTTTTGGCCTTGGCTTTGGCAGGAGGGGAGCAGCCCTTACTCCCGACCCGGTGATTGGCCGGCTTGCCAGCCGCCGCACATGCATTGCAGTGCAGCGGGGCGGTACACGAGCCAGCCTTGTGACCGGGCCGACCGCAGCGGAAGCAACAGTCGCTGCGGTCCACCTCCGAGGTGCATTTAACGCTCACGTGTTCGCCCACGTGGCAGCGATAGCACCTCAGAGGCCGGGTCTCGAGCAGCTTGACCTGCGCCGAGACCCATCCCACCAAGAGCCTTTTGCCCTCCTTCAGCTTCTTGGCCGCTGTGACGGGGCAGCTCACCACCACCGTGCGCAGCCCCGAGTTGTCCGGACGGATGGTGCCCGCCTTGACCTGGTCAGCAGGGCACCCTCCCGTCCTGGCCACAGCGGCCACCACCTCACTCTCCGTGACGGAGTCGTCCAGGCCCAAAATCCGAACATCCACACATTTAGTGGGCCTGGACACGCGAGCCTCGTCTGCCCCGAGGCACGCCCTAAGCCTCTCAGCCAGGGCGTCGGCCGACGGGCCGCTGGTCGCGCCGGGGACCTCCAGTAGACGGGCTCCGGTAGCGGTCACCTTGACCGCAAACCCGTCCGGGGCCCCGAACTCCGCAGGTGTTACCGCCCCCTTGAGCTTGGCGAGGACGTCGCCGTAGGTAACGCCCCTATTGACCGCCTCGGGCTGCAGGGTAATAACCACAGCCGCGGTCTTAGGGGCGAGGAGCAAGGCAGCAGCGCGTTTCTCCCTGCGCTGCTGCTGCCGTCGCTGCCGCTGCGCCTTCTTGCGGCGCTTCCGGCCCTCCCTGGCGACTCTCCTCGTCTCGCCGGCGATTTGCCACCCGCCGCCGTCCTCCACTCGTGGGGCGGGTTCCGCCGCCGCTGCTGCAACTCCAGCTTGCCGGGCTGGAGTTCTCCTCCTTTTTTTGCGTCCCGCGGGCGCAGGCGCCGTCGGCGCAGCCGGGGTCTGCACAGGCGGGGGCGCCGAG